CGTATGAACTCTGGAATTCTGCCAGCAATCCTTACCGTGTATGTGGGAGGAGTAGTTTTCCTATTGGCCACATACCTCTACTTTCCCATGACCACAGTTAAAATACCAGTCATCTGAGTTTATATCGATTTCCAGACTTGAATGAATGTGAGCGAAGGGAACACACCTGCGATCGTAATGCCGTCTGCGAAAACACTGAAGGATCGTTCACATGCCAGTGCAATGCCGGTTATACCGGCGACGGACATCATTGCACCAGTGGGTAATCCTGTGCTTGTTTATCCGCTAATTTTCTTTTTCTCAGTGGAAATGAGTTTACCAGCCCCAAAAAAAGCAACGAACTTTTCAGGTACGGACGTCGAAGCAACTGAAGCTGCACCGCCACCTCCAGTGGAACGCGAAGAGTCACCCTCTGGCCATCGTAAAGTGGGTGGATCAAAAGGTCTTGGTTTTGCTATTTGACATTTTTGATTTAGAACATTTCTCCATCCTATTGGCTGCATGGCGATCTTAGAGACGATTTTGGATTAAAACTGACTTTTAGACTCCTTCCCTTTTCCTTTTCCTCTTGGCCACATGCAAATACTTCACAGTCATTTAGTGGGCTATTCCCTGCAACAATCCTGTTGTTACTGTTACTTCTTGGAGTGAATGGAAAATTGCATGAACGGTCTTGTTCGCTGCGGCTGAAGGGCGTGTCAAGAGGGATGCGTTTGGCGCGGTGCCAAATCCGTTCTCCACTAGTTTTAGTCTCCATAAGCGGCTACGGTTGCTAGAAAACACCTGATACGAGTGACAGGTACAATCTTATCGCTTGCACTCTTCAATAGGCTGTGGAAAAGAGCTGCGCCGGACCTATCCCACTTGACAAGCCCCTTCATCCGCGGGAACAAGACTGTAGTTGTTCACAATCTTTTATCATTCTAGTATTGTTACGGTACTTGTTATACAAGGCCGTGAATCAAAGTCGCACTAATAATATGGGCGGAGTCAGTCCTTCTAGTTCTAATAACTTCTTCCTTATGCCAAACAGGTTTGTATGGTGGAATACTTTATTTTGACGATTTATTCTGACGTTTCGACAACAAAATAAAGTATTCCACCATACAAACCTGTTTGGCATAAGAAAGAAGTTATTAGAACAATAAGTACCAAATGCCCAGGTTACAAGAAAGGCGAACATGGAGTCCTTCTAGTGTCTCCTAATCTGTTCTCCCCTCTTCTATGAGGCGGTAATTGAAAGGGGGGACCAATAAAAAGGCATGACAGTACGTTTGACTCCATCCACGCGGTAACAACGAATGGGCCGTCGAAGACCTCTGACCACTACTAGTCCCCTCTGAAGTACAAGCCTTCTTCCTTACTTTAGTCCATGAGTATTTTAGTCACTCTGCACCGTATCTGAGAGGTGGTGTAGGGGTGGGTGGCCTTACACGCGCGGGGCTCAGGGTCAATTGTCGGACCGGCTCTCGCCTGAGTTAACCAAGATTTCTACACTCTGGGAATGGTAAACGGCGTCAGGTTCGTCTGGGAGGATGAGGATACCAAATTGTACGGCTGGCCCCCGCAAGTCATTGTATACAACATATAGAGGTCAATATGCCATTACGATTCTGAATGGAAGTAGAATGCATGCTGCATCATATAAGGGCTATCAGGTGCCAGAATTTCATCCTCTATCCTTTTTGCACCGCCTGCGGACAGAAATTCAATTTCATCATTCAGGGAGTGTGCACGAATCACCAACAATGTCACAAATGGGGAGAATGCGTTTTTGCTGACGGATCTCCATACGGACAATGCCGTTGTCGTGGATGGTACACTGGCGACGGAGTAGATCATTGTGGACCTCCACAAGGTGAGTTTAGATGCTTCAGAAGGGATTCATCAGAGAAAGTCTGCAAGCTAAAACTTCGGACCGCAAGTTGTGCTGCTTTATCGTCTAGCATCTGTAATAAATATTCTGTAATCAGAATAAGGAATATGGCCATATGGTCTTGTATTACTTACTGCCAATCGGCTTGGGAATGGCAAGTAACGAGCTAGCGCGAAGAATTCGAAAAAACAAACAAGAACCTGGTTGATTGCGAGTTCTGGGGTGCAGGCTAAGAGATTCGAAGTTGCGATTGTACAGAAAAGGTGGCCTTTCAAGTATCATGCGCGCACGCGGCACTCGCACCACGACCCAAACGTCAAGTGCCCAAGGGTGTTACGCGCGCGCTGAAAGTCTATTTCTCGAGCAGCTCGGATCCTCTCGACTAACCTCATGTCTCCGACACCCCTTGCCTTTCTCGAACAACTCGGATCGTCTCAGCAACTCGGACTTTCTCTCCCAAATTTTCTTGCTCAGTGTTAGCTGAGGCAGGTAAGTGTCTGATATGAACGACTGTGAAAGT